TCCTCCTCCTCCTCCTCCTCCTCCTCCTCCTCCTCCTCTTCTTCCCCCCCCCCATCCTGGCAGGACTGTGGTGTCTCTTCAGAGGGAGAGGAGCCCTTAGACAGTGGCCCTTCCTCAGAGCTGCAGTAGGCCGGGATGTCGGATCCTGCTTGCCTGGGGAAAGGGACAAAGAACTGTATCCTGGCGGCTCCAGTCAGGCTGGGGCTTCCCTTCCCTGTGCTGAATTTCCCTCCCCCCTTCTTCCCCCACTTCGGGTTGCTTTCAGGATCAGCAGACGGATCCTTCTGGATCGAAGCAGTAGGCCCTTTCCATTGCATATACCTTTCAGGAGTTTAAAAAAATCGATTGCTCCATTTTTCCAGTATAAGTAGCTGGGGTTCAGGCAGCCTGGTTTAAAAATCTGAATGTTCTTTAGAGCTGGAATGTCTGTAAGTCATTGGTCTTTTTCTTTCCCCCAAAGGAGGACTTCTAGTTCCCAAACCTGATTCCGTGTTCCTAGTGGAAGAAACAGGAGATCCATCCGTCCAAGAAGCAGAAGAAACAGAGAGATCAGCAGGTATCTGTTTATTTGTGTGGTGGGAACTGGTCTGACTCCTCTTGGGCTGAATTTTACCAGCTGGAGAATGGAGGGATTTCACAAGAGGCAGCACCCTGAGAATGGTCAGGAAAACTATCTCACGTGTGAGTTAAACCGGGAAACAAAATTCTAGCTTGTTTGTACCTCATCTTGACAGGAAATGTTCATACAGTGGTCCACTTTAATACACATTGATTTACTTATATCCTGTCTCTCCACGGATATACTCAAGTTGGCTCAAAAATCAAAGCAATAGCATAAAATCCTAATGAGTGGCTAAATGATCCATTTAAAAAGACAGGGCACAAGAAGAGCATAGAACAGCCCCTGAGTTGCCTCAGAAATCTCCCAAGACCAGTCCTCAGGTCAGAAGAAGAGCATAACACAGTTGAAAAGAAAGCCCCTTAAAAGAAAGTTTGGCTGGAAAGAATTGTTTTGGCTTGGTTCTGAAAAGATAGGAAGGTAAGCTCATCAACTGGGGGAACATTCCTCAGATGAGGGGCCACCACTGAAAATGCCCAGTCTCTAGTCTCCACCTTCCTCAGCCCTTTAGGTAGGGCCACAGAATGCAGGGCTTGGGAGGCCAAACTGATCTGTGGGGTGGAAAGTATGGTGAGCATTATAAGCTTGGAGGTCAGATGGGGTGTCCGTAATTCAGGTGTAAAGCTCTGCTCCAAAAGGGCTGTCCAGTGAAGTGCTGTCCAGTTCTTTATTTGAAAGGAAGATAATGAGCAATAGCCATCTAGTCCAACCTCCATTCCCCACAGTGGCCACCCAGAGTCCTTGGAAAGGTAAGAGAACCCTAGAAAAGCCCTGCTGGATCAGATCAGTGGTCCATCTAGGCCAGCATCCTGTCTCAAACTGATGTCACATTGTCCCTGATAAGGCAATTTTACTTGCACTCTTAGGACCTAAACTGGAAGGTACATATTGGTACTGATATTATTTCCAGTATATGCAACTACTTCTGACACAAGTCCAGATATATTTGTGGGCCCCAATAAAAATCTTTTGGTGCGTCATTCAATTCCAGATTGGAACATTCCATTTTTGGTCCTATATTATTAATTGTTTACGGGGACTTTGTTGCTCGGTGTATTTCGTTCTTTGTACTATTTAACCTCTGAAGAAGGCTCTTGTGAGCTGAAACGTGTCAGGTCATACATCGCTCTTATTTGTGCATTTGTCACTTTGAACATTTTATGACGCTGTATTTGGGCCTCTAAAAGGTTTTTATATGTCTTTGAAATAAAAATTATTTTGTCTATACTTATTTATGTTTTTAACTTTTGGCCATCAATAAGTTTTCTAAACTTCCTTTGGAGGTTTTTGGTTGGTTGGTTTAGTTCCCCCCCCTCTTTTCTTTGGGTGTCCAACTGTGGCCAACCAGTTCCTCTGGAGGGCCAACAGCAGGGCACAGAGACCAAGATCTTCCCTTAATGTTGCTTCCTTGCTCTGAGTTTCAGTGTCTCTGAATGTGGAGGTTCCCCTCAGTCACCATGGCTAGTAGCCACTGATAGACTTATCCTCCATAAATCTATCTAATCCCCCATTAAAGCTTTTTGTTCTTATGGCCGTCACTACATCCTCTGGCAATGAAATCCACATTTTAATCATTCTCTGTGTAAAGTGGTGTTTCCTTTTGTCTGTCCTGAACCTACTGCCCATCAGCTTCATTGGATGCCCTCGAGTTTTAGTATATTGGGAGAGGGAGAAAAAAATTATCAACTCTCTCTCTACCCCATGCATAATTTTGTAAACCTCTATCATGTCCCTCCTTTGGTTGTCTGTTTTCTGGAACTTTTCAGCCTTCCCACATACGAAAGGTGTTCTAGCCCCCTAATCATCTTGGTTGCCCTCCACTGTACTTTCTCCGGCTCTGTAATGTCTTTTTTTGAGAGACGGGGACCAGAAGTATACATAGTAATCCAAATGAAGCCACATCATGTTAGGCGGCTGGTCGGACTCCAGCCCAGAAGATCTGCACCGGGCATTGCAAGCCGTGGCTGGTTGGCTCCGACTGAGTTGGCTGAAGCTAAACCCGGCGAAGACGGAGGTCCTGGGCCTGAGTCAGGGCAGTTCGGGGTTCAGGCTCCCTCTCCCGACCTTCGATGGGTCGCCTTTGGTGCCAGCGCCGGAGGTTAGGAGTTTGGGACTGCGCCTGGACTCCTCGCTAACTATGGAGGCCAGAGATGGCAGCCACGGCTAAGTCGGCCTTTTACTATCTTTGGCTGGCTCGGCAGTTGGTCCCCTTCCTCGACCACGATGACCTGGCCACAGTGATCCATGCGACGGTCACCTCGAGGTTAGACTACTGTAATGCTCTCTACATGGGGCTGCCTCTGTCACAAATCTGGAAGCTGCAGCTAATGCAGAATGCTGCAGCCAGGCTTTTGATGGGCCTCCCTAGGCGGGAGCACATCCAGCCTGTGCTGAAAGTGCTGCACTGGCTGCCAATAGTGTACCAGATTTGCTTCAGAGTGCTGGTTCTTACCTTTAAAGCCCTATATGGCCAGGGTCCGACATACCTAAGGGACTGCCTTTCCCCATATGTTCCCCAACAGGCACTACGGTCGGGGACGCAAATCTCCTGTTGACCCCAGGCCCCAAGGAGGCCAGGTTTGCTGCAACCAGGGCCAGGGCCTTTTCGGTGGTGGCTCCTACCTGGTGGAATGAGCTCCCGAAAGAGATCTGGGCCCTGCGGGACCTTGCGCACTTCTGCAGGGCCTGCAAGATGGAGCTCTTCCGCCAGGCTTTTGAGTAGGAGCCGCCACTACCTTTACCATCATTACCAACTGGCCCTGTGAGGAATGAACGACAGTGCTGCGTGCAGCTGACACCACTGAACTGGGAGAATCATCTTCAAGTTTCCATCTTGCTATTGAAGACTGATTTGAAACATCTAGAGCACTTTGTAATATTATAAATAACTGTTTTTATGTTGTTTTTAACTTGTTTTATGTATTGGCATGTGCCCTATTTGTGAGCCGCCCTGAGCCTGCTTGCGGGGAGGGGGGGCTATAAATCAAAATAATAAATCAAAAAATAAATAAATAGCTTCCTAAGAAGAGGAGCAGATCCAAAGTGTCCCACTTCAGAGAGTTACTGCCTCTATAGAAGGAGGTTCCATTGATCCAACTTGTCTCTCATGGAACTACCTTGTAAGGAAGAATCAGCAATTAATTAATACGGGACAGGATTTGTTTCCCCTTCAAGTGATTTCTGTCCTGTCATTATCAAGAGCAGTTAATGTACTTCCTTTCATTCCACTTTTGCTTGAAAGTCTTACCATTGCTTTCTCTTTATTCTAGAGGCTGATGGTCCACAGAGCAAGTCCAAGGGAGAACAACAACACCAACCACTTGACAGAAAAGAGAAGAAAAGATATACTGGAACAAAACAGAAGAGGAGGAACAAATGCTCCGTGTCTCAGGGTGCTCATTTGGAGGTCTTCAATGCACACCAAGGAATTAACCCTGTGGAGGAACCTCATAAATGCCTGGAGTGTGGAAAGACCTTTGCTCAGAGCTCACACCTCTCTGCCCATCAAGACATTCACACAAGGGAGAAACCATATATATGCTTGGAGTGTGGAAAGAACTTTTCTCAGAGCTCACACCTTATCGCCCATCAACATATCCACACTGGGGAGAAACCATATAAATGCTTGGAGTGTGGAAAGAACTTTGCTCAAAGCTCACACCTTACTGCCCATCGACGAATCCACACAGGGGAGAAAGCACATAAATGCCTGGATTGTGAAAAGAGTTTTTCTTGTAGTTCACAGCTTACTAAACATCAACGTATCCACACTGGGGAGAGACCATATAAATGCCTAGAGTGTGGGAAGAGCTTTACTGAACGTTCACATCTTACTGCCCATCGACGAATCCACACAGGGGAGAAACCATATAAATGCTTGGAGTGTGAAAAGAATTTTGCATGGAGTTCAGACCTCACTGCCCATCAACGAATCCACACTGGGGAGAAAGCATATAAATGCTTGGATTGTGAAAAGAGTTTTTCTTGTAGTTCACAGCTTACTAAACATCAACGTATCCACACCGGGGAGAGACCGTATAAATGCCTAGAGTGTGGGAAGAGCTTTACTATACGTTCACACGTTACTGCCCATCAACGAATCCACACAGGAGAGAAACCATATAAGTGCTTGGAGTGTGGAAAGAATTTTGCATGGAGTTCAGACCTTATTGCTCATCAGCGTATCCACACTGGGGAGAAACCATATAAATGCTTGGTGTGTGGAAAGAGCTTTGCTCAGAGTTCACACCTTACTGCTCATCAACGAATCCACACAGGGGAGAAGCCATATAAATGCTTAGAGTGTGGAAAGAGTTTTGCTTGGAGTTCAGACCTTACTGCTCATTATCGTATCCACACTGGGGAGAAACCATATAAATGCTTGGAGTGTGGAAAGAATTTTGCTCAGAGTTCACAGCTTACTACCCATCAAGTTATCCACACTAGAGAGAAACCATATAAATGTTTGGATTGTGAGAAGACCTTTTCTTATAGTTCACAGCTTTCTAAACATCAACGCATCCACACTGGGGAGAAACCGCATGAATGTCTGGAGTGTGGAAAGAGCTTTGCTTTGAGTTCACAGCATACTATCCATCAATGCACCCACATTGTACTACCCATCAACGAACCTCAAAATGCATATCTTAAGTTACACCTAGGACTTCACCCAGGGGAGAAACCATAAAAATACTAAGCCATGTTTTAGGCATGAAAGACTTTACACCAGGAGAGAAACCGTGCAAATATTTCTAGTTTTGCAAGATCTCCAGCCTCATCACCTACCTTACTAGTGGTTAAGTGTGCGGACTCTAATCTGGGAGAACTGGGTTTGATTCCCCACTCCTCCACTTGCACCTGCTGATGTGACCTTGGGTCAGTCACAAGCTCTGGCACAGCTGTCCTTGAAAAAGAGCAGTTTGTGTCAGAGCTCTCTCAGCCCCACCCACCTCACAGGGTGTCTGTTGTGGGGAGGGGAAGGGAAAGGAGTTTGTAAGCCGCTCTGAGACTCCAAGTGAAGGGCGGGGTATAAATCCAACCTCCTCTTCTTCTTCTTCTTCTGCTTCTTCTTCTTCTGCTTCTTCTGCTTCTTCTTCTTCAATTATCTGGACTTTTGTGCTAAATCAGGCCCATATTGTACAGCCTTTTGAACTCATATTGGTTAAGGCATGTTCAGTTCTCAGCTAAAATATTTTGATCACAAGTTATTATAACATTTGACATTTTTGCCCTACACTGTCAACACATCTTATGGAGGATGAGTGTGGCAGCCCTTTTGGATTAACAGATTATGTTATTTAGGACCAGGTCCTCTGCCCCGCTTGCTCCATTCACCCTTTTTAACAATAGTTTGACTACTGAATGAGCAGTTCTGCCTCCTGTCAAAAGAGCTGCAATTCTGCCGGATGAACTAATGGCAAGAGCAATCATCCTTTGTGCCAAACGGCACCCAAAACTTTATTTGCCACAAGCATCATGCCCCAATCACGCTGAGAGGGAGGTTAGGCTGAGAACGGGCGACTGGCCCAGGGTCAGCCTGCAGATGTCCTTGGCAGAGGTGGGAGTTGAACCTGGGACTCCTAGAGCCTAGTCAGGCACTCTAAGCACGACACCACCCTGGCTCTGCCAGTTCCGGGAGGCTGTCGTCTAAAGGAGGGGAAATTTTCCATCCTCCTTGTTTGTGCTGCCTTTCTCCCTGGCGTGGACAGATAGCGTCTTCCTTTACTCTACTCTGCTCCTGTTTATAACCACATCAACCCTGTGAGGTGGTTTGACTTCAGAGTGTGCCTGATATTTGATCCTAGTCTGCCATTCTGACTGCTGCGACACTCAAGCTCTAGTAGTTCAGGGACAGCTAAGCCCCCTTTGTATTTTAACCGAGAAGCTATTTTCTCCCTTCCTGTCTGCATTGCTTGCCATTCCTGGCTTCTCGGGAGTAAACTTTTGCTTCCAATACTAACAGGAGAGGCATGTTACCAAGTTTATCTGTACCGGAAGGTTCTGATTCCCCTAATTTTTGGCACTGCACCTCCCGCTATTAAGCTGAAGCTGGTGGCCAGTCCCAGATCATGCACAAAGCTACATGATTGTATAGATCAATGGTACAGCCTCATTTGGAATATTGTGTGTGGCTTTGGTCACTTTAACTTAAAAAGAACAATGCAGAGCTTATCCTATGGGGAAAGGCTGAAGAGTCTGAGATTTCTCCATTCAGAAAAGAGGTCACTAAAGGAGGAGTGCTGGTAGAGATTTATAAAATTATGGCCAATTTTGAATATCTTTGTTCCTTCTGAAAGTTTCAGTGTTGCACCCTTTACTTCCATGGGTGATCGTCTCCAGACCTCTGCTAGTCACCTGAAGTCATGCTCCGATTTCCTGATTTGTTAGGAAATTGCTTTTGGGTCTAGAGAACTTCTATGCCGCTGCTATATTCCCATAAAAAACAGGACATGACCTGTAAAAGACAGGATAATGGAGTTCCCATGAATGTGCATGGAGTGTGGTTGCTTCCTCCTCCTCCTTCTCCCCCCACCCTACATGTCCTTCACTCTGCCACCACCCCCCCAAACTAAAATAGTGCCCTTCTGTTTACCTGCAGATTGGAGCACAGGAAGTGTCTCTCTATGTGTGAGGCTGGATACTCCCACTCCTCTTTCTCTGTACATACATGAACAATAGACCAGGCACTTGAGTATCCAGCCTCTTTGAACAGTCCACTTTGAACACCGTCTGAATTCTTAAAGGAGACAAAATCTTTATTGATTGTAGGGGAAGAGTTGCTGGTCTGGACCAGAAAGATCCTGGATGATATTTCTGTTGGTCAGAACCTGAATGGGCCTAATTTCTCAGCAAAAGATGCCAACAAGGGAGTCTAGAGACCCACAATAGAACAGCCTTGGAGAAGAGGAAGAGATGAAGGAGTGACACAGTCAGAAACAGTCTAACCCAGATCCATGGATATTATTTGTTGAGGCCAGCAGGGAAAGCATCTGAGAATGGCAAAAATGTCCAAACTTCAAAAAAGTGAAGGTACAGTTCAAAGATGGGGGGGTGTACTGGTTGAGGGCCAAATGGAATGTCTTTTAGAATCCTGATGTTGTTGTCCCCAATTTTCAAGGGTGTTCCCGTAGTTGCTTTCAAAATCAAGTCTCCTACATGTCTCTTCGAGAATTTGACCACTATTTCCCCAGGCAGATTATTTTTCTTGATATATGATGAATATGACCTATAGACCACATCCATCTCGCTGTAGAGGTATTCCGCTGTCAAATCTGTCATTGGGGCTAATGCTTCACTCAGCCGTTGCTTCAGATTCTCTCCTTTAATTTCTGGGACCCCTTGGAATCACAGGACCAAATTTGCTTTTTCCATTTGCAGCTGTAGAAGTGTGGATTCTTCCGTGGCTTGCTTCATTTCCAGCTTCTTCAACTTTTTCTTAACTTTTTTAGTACTGGCGTCCATTTCCTTTACCTTCTCTCCCATTTGCTCCGTTGCTTTTAACGATTGAGTCAGTTGCATTTGCTGTGAAGCCAAGCTTGTCATCTCATCCAGCAGAGGGTGCAAGAAATCAGCCAACAGTTTAGAAAGCTCGGGAGTCTCTTTCGGTCGAGGACTACGCCCTAGTTTTGCTTTCAACAACTTTTCTTTCTCTGGTTTCTTCCCCACCATCTTTTTGGATTTGTTTACTTTTCCAAAAGTTGCTAAAGTCTCTGGTACTCGCCCAAACGCTTATTTGCACTCTGGTAAGTCTCTTAAAACAGATTTAGATGCTTGTTTTTCTGCTCCCCCCCTCTTTTTGTGTGTTTCATCTGCGCGTTTGGGAGGATCCCCTCCCCCGCTCCCTTTCCCGGCACTCTTAAAGGGGGGCAGCTTTCTTTTAAATCTTCATATTCGCTTCAACCCGACTCACAGTTCGTTGTTGGCCTAACGGCCTCGCTCGTCATCGGTTATTTCGCCCGATCTCCAACGCAGCAGCACTCGTACCATTCGGTCACTATGTGGCAGGACCTTCGGGGCGGAGGAGCGCCTCAGTTCTCCAGCTTCTCACCATCGAAGAGGTTGCCCCTAAAAAAAAAACTGGCTAGGAGCCTCTTACCAAGGCTCCGGGGGGGGGGGTCGCGACCTGTCAGACCCCCTCCCACACGCTGGTGTGCAGTTTGCATCCCCGGAGCGACTGGGAGATGCGTCTGCCTGTGTGTCGCCATAAACCGGAAGTCCGTTAGAACTATTTTTAAATGAACTTGGTTATGGTCAAAAGTTACAAGGATCTAAAAAAAATATTTAAATGTATTCTAAGAAAATACTGCATTTCAGATAACTTGTATGGTCTTTGAAGTTACAAGATAATGAATTAGCCAAGAATGTGCATCCTTATCAAGGGGGACAGCCAAAAAACCCAAAGAAGTCTTTGTTTAGGAGGAGATGTTAACAAGTTGTAAATACAAGAAACTCATCTTAGAAAAGCATCTTGCATGTGACATGCTTTTCTTTGGGTAAGATGATTTTATGGACTCATGTAATAGTTTTCCTTTAATTATCAATGTAGCATTGAAAGATGATCTAGTTTTCTTTTGAAATTAGACATTGTTAAAGATGCAAATAGTTATATTGCAATAAAGAATAGTTATGTTGCAATAAAGAATAAAGATCTTCTAATAGTATCACTTGTGTACTAGACCTGTAACAAACCAAAAGTGTTGCTGAGGTGTGCCTCTTCCCAGGAACAAAACGATTTGATATAGGAAAGGTAATAAGATTCCTAGGATTTCTTAAGCGTCAGCCAATATCTGAGTTGGGCCTGACAAGACTCATCCAGAAAAACCCACTTGTAAAGAGGACAAAGGTTTTAGCAGGGGTTGCGTTCCCAACAATAGGACTACATGAACATTGGCTGCTTCACTGATCCCCACTTTCCTGGATTATTTGGCCTTTCCAGGGGTATGACGTCCTCCTTGGGTGAGGGATGCCCTGCCTCCTAGCTCCTGGGAGGAGGAGAACACTACTTGGGACTGCCTTATTTTCATTTTCTAAAGGACAGTTTGGTGTAGTGGTTAAGTGTGTGGACTCTAATCTGGGAGAACCGGGTTTGATTCCCCACTCCTCCACTTGCAACTGCTGGATCACCTTGGGCAAGCCATAGTTCTCTCAGGAGAAGTTCTCAAAAGAGCACTCTCAGCCCCACCCACCTCACAGGGTGTCTGTTGTGGGGAGGGGAGGGGAAAGGAGTTTGTAAGCCGCTCTAAGACACCGAGTGAAGGGCGGGGTATAAATCCAATCTCCTCTTCCTCCTTCTACAGTCATTGTCCCACCCTTCCACTTCCGTTCCACCAGGCCTGATCCCAGGACTTGGAAGAGTATCTGGAAAATGTCAACCCTGAGGGAAAATCTATAGCAGGGGTGGCCAAACTGCGGCTCGGGAGCCACATGTGGCTCTTTCACATATATTGTGAGGCTCCCGAAAGGGCAGCTGGGGAAGCAAAGGGGAGGCATACTTTTTCTCCCTCCCTCCCTCCCTTACCCCTCCCTCCCATCTTTTTACTTTCTTTGTTTCTCTCTCTCTTTCCACCTCTTTCTTTCTTTCCACCTCTCTCTCTTTTTCTCTCTCAAACA